TTCTGTTCTCTGCAGACTCTGAATGTCTGGCCTGGATTCAAACACTTAAAGTAACAAGAAACAGTAAGGGACAGTGACACCTGCTCCCAGAAAGAACATGATGTGCTCTTTGCTGATAATGGCCTCTGAAACCTCCCCATCTTCCTTCTCCTTCCTTCATCTTCTTCTCCCCACCACCCAAATGTGGGAATCTGATATTAACCAGGCGGCCTACAAATCCTTCTGTATTTAAGTGTGAAAAATCTTGTTTCAAAAGACATAATTTGTAGAGTTTTTTATCTTTTTTTTTTTTTTTTTTTTTTGGACAGATATTTATCTTGTGTTTCCTCACTAAAGATCTTTTATTCTTCTTAACACTAACTTGCTGTATGTCAGAAATTTCTCTCCATCTTACCATAACTGTTAACAACAGAACTTGGATTGTAGTATGTGAAATGATTACCTATATCTCTGCATATATTCTCTTGATACTTAATATTCTGCCAGTTTTAATCTGACTTGATACAATGCATAAATCACACAAGTTTATAAATTTATACCTCTGTGATATTTCAGGTGATAATTCACTCAAGTTGTAGAAGTGTGTTTTTCCTTTGGGAGAGATTACCATGATTAGTATGTTAGTGCTGTAGGAAGGAATTTGTCAATTGATTTTTAGTATTACTTGGTTATAGGCATCCTCATACAACACTTGATTTACTGAGGATCATGATACTATAGCACATTCTGCTATAGTTTCTAGGTCTTTGGAACTTCACATTTTTCCTGGTGCAAAAATTCATGTGTGTTTCTGTACAGTAGTTTGCAGTGTTGCAGTGCCTGCTGTGCTTGATCAAATCTCTGAAATCTTGTTAGGCAGACATATTATCTTTGTCGTTGAATATGAGTGGATATATTAGGATAAGCAGAGATAATCCTGGTCCTGGAATATTTACCTGGAATTATTTAATTAAATAATAAATTCTTCTGACTAGCTAAAAAGGAGACTGATTATCAGGGGCTACAGAGTGACTGAAATGACTCCCAAAAAAGCAATTTTTAAGGTATTTCTTTCTAGCTCTTCCTTAGATTGGTTAAATGATATGACCGTACCTGCCCTCCTTTTCCTTTTTCTTTAATTCAAAATGGAGACAAGCGCCCTTGTGGTTATTCCTTGTCATTTAGCATACTGAAATATTATCACAGTCCCTGATCTGTTGCGTGCAAGTTTAGTGTTCTCAGTGCTGAGTGCACTAGTGTTCTGAGTGCTCAAAAGCCCTTCAAAGTTTTCCAGTGAACAGGTCAAAGAATGACAAGCACTTGAGGTGAAACACATCTACGTGAAAATTTTCGTAAGAAACGTGTTAGGCAACTGTAGACTTTACCAGGGTAAAACCAAGCAGCAAACTGGAAATGAGCCACTTGAAGATGTAGACAGCTTAGGGAACGCAGTGAAATGGTAAGAGGAGCAGCAGGGCTGCAGACCAGCAGGTATGCCTGTGCCCTGGGCACTGTCTTGCTTCTAACAGCATTTGGGCTTTGCCAAAGAGGACTAAGAACAAGATAATGACACATGATAATTCCCTCAAATACTCTCTTACTCACCTTAACCTGCTTGCTGAGTTTTCTAAGTTGTGCCTTTCTAGTGGAGAAGTCGAGAGGTTTTGGGTTCCTACCCAGTGAAATGTGGCTCAAGCCGTATGCTAGGGCAGGGTTAAATAAGATTTAATTAGGTATTTTTAGCTTGGAAGTACATTCTCACTAATCATCTAAAGTACCTGTTACCATATCTGCAAAATAAATTGGAAAGTGACCTTTCTTCGGAGCTAGATGAGATCGTGTTGCAGGATAAAAAAAGAACCTTTGTGGGGAAGCTAGCACTTAGTTATTTGCAGTGCATTTGGAATGGGAATTAGCCGTGCGTATACCTGTACAGGACATGATATGACTCATCTAGTAATTTTTTCCTGTATTTTCCAAACCTCACACTTAAATGCAAATAAAAGTACCCTACTGAGCTTCTTTCAACTGACTTCCTTCATTTGGAAATTTAAATTTGAGCAATGGCAGATTCCTAATGTGTACAGTCATAGGATGTACATCTGAGGTAATTGCTTAAGATCCAGCTGGTGGCCGAGTGACATAAAAATATGTTTATACAGAGCCACTGTTTCTAGTCGCATGACACACACACAAAAAAGATTGTTTACTATAAATGCTAAGAATCAGCTAACCTTAGAAATTCTAGCAGCTTTTTATTGCTGAAACTTAATATTGCATTATCCTCATTACACAAACCTCCAATTTCTAGATAAGATGCAATTCCTTGTACTCTGAAGCTTTACTTGAACATTTTTTGTGCAAAAGCTGTCAGTTGTACAAGGCTGCATCTTCCATTTTTCAGTACAGCACTTCAGAAATCCATTCAAGACTGAGGTTGTGACTGCAGGCTGAAGTTGGAACAAAATCCTGAGGAAGCCAATGTTCCAGTTATCGCAGATGCCTTCTGTTTTGTGCTCGACTTTGGTGTTCTGATGCATGATGTTTTTGATGATCTTTTAATTACTTGGCTTTACAGCAAATTTTTTTGTAATATAAAAATGTAAAAACTGTAAATGTAAAAAGTGTTCTTTCAAAATAAACTATTTGGGCCATTTTTAATGAATTTTGAAGAATGGAGGGTAATAGAACTCAGCAGATACCAAGTGATGGAAATTCCGTTCTTGACCTGCGCGTGGCTAGTTCGAGGCAAGCTAGAACTTCTGTGTTGTCACTTTGTGCACTGTGAAATACAGGCTTGGCTTGAAGATAACATCCTGATTGCTGTATTAGCTTCTCTGGACACTTGAAACCAAATGATTTTTTTCTGCTTGGTTTTGAACACTATAAAGATTTCATAATCTGATAATGGTTTCTACTGCTGAAATTTATTCTCCTGGGCATTTCAACAGAGCAGGCTTAACAGGTGTCAGGAAATGATGCAAGAAAAATGTCTTTGGTTTATTGTTTTTTGATCATTACAGGGCTGCCTATTTCTTTGATCCTTTTTCTAGCCTGAAAGCTCTGCCTGCAAAATCTTGATTCTTTCCAGAGGCAAAATCCTCTGCCTGTCCTGCTGCTACATCAGGCCCCGCACTACAGTATTCTCTGGATTAATTCTTTTTATCCTAGCAGAGCTATTGCAAGCCTGCAGTTCTTCCATTTGTGATGTTGTGTACAAAGCCTCTAAAAAGATTTGTAAGAATTAACTAATATTTCAGTAGTAGCAAAGCATAATGTAAAAGAAGCCTGTAGCCATGGCAATTTGACATAGATTCTTCCTAAATTCCCGGCTTTCAGACTCAGGTGTGATCCTTGCTGCCCACCTTATGTATTTAATTGTCTTGCCTGCTGCTGCTGTTCTGTATTTCTGCACTGGCTCAGTGGTAGAATCTTTTCATCAGGAAACCTCAAAGACTTGAGACTTTCCTTTTGTTACTTGTTTTTCTCCTGTTACTTGCATATTCTGGTTGTCTTGCTGTTGAAAGTACCTCAATTTTATCCAGCTGAGGGCACTGGAATCTCTTTGGTGTGAATGTACAAATTAACAGCACTAACTGCTGAAATGAGGAGCAAACATGCAACAGGTCAAAGTTGGTTCCAGCGCCATCCTGCCTGCCGAAGGAGTTTGTCTTTGTGTGATGGTGCTGTCTCTTGCTCCTTACCCCAAACCAAGTCTCTTCCACTGCTTCTAGAACAATTTTGAAGACTGTCTCAAAGTTATTATGAGGATGCTTTTTTATTATAGACAGATTATACTTTTGGAAACTATTTTTTTTGAAATTAATTTTATTGTATTCATGGACAATCAGTCTGTATAAATACCTGAACGGTGAATATAGGGAGGAAGGGGCCAAACTCTTCTCAGTGGTGGCCAGTGACAGGACAAGAAGTAACAGGTGTAAGTTGAAACACAGGTAATTTCACCTCCACGTGAGGAAGAACTTCTTTACTATGAGGGTGACAGAGCAGTGGAACAGGCTGCCCAGGGGGGTTGTGGAGTTGCCTTCTCTGGAGGTCTGCAAAACCCACCTGGATGCCACCCTCTGGGTGTACCTGCTTGAGCAGGAAGTTTGGACTAGATGATCTCTAGAGGTCCCTTCCATTTTGTGATATTTTTCATATATATATATATATTTTTAAATAAATTTTTTTTTTATTTTAAATGAAGTTACTACCTGCACGCCCACCAACTATATTTTTGTTTATGTACTACAGATTTGGCAAACTATGCTCCATCTGACTTTACTCCTTGGTTGTTGTATGTGACTAGATGATTGCTTAGTCAGTTGTATATGACTACATGATCTGTCTGATCATAATGGTATTTGATCTGCTAAAGACAGGTGTTACTTTTTTTTATTGTTACTCTTTTGTTGTAGATAGAATTTATCCTTTCTTACAGTGCCAGCTGGTAATTCTGAATGTGTCTGTTGAATGCTTTTTGTTCTTGATGTTATTGACTAATTGATTTACTGCAGTAAAGGTAGCATTATTGGATAAGTTTTGTTAAACATGTGTTGTGACTTTCTAAATAATTCTTTAAGGGTTAAGCTCGTGGGTGCTCTTGTAATGTTTTGTTAATTTCTGATTTTTTTCCTTAAAAGTCTTTAAAATTCTGTGCAGACCTGCTGCATCTAACTTTAATTGATATAAATATAATTGATATAAATGAGCCCTAATAAATACAGCATTTAAATGTGGAATGGAAACGAAATAACTGGGTAGACAGAATGGTCTAGTATCAATACTCAAGCAGGATACAGATTGATATTGCTCTGTTCTGTATATCACGTAAAATAGTTTTCTTGCAAATATTCTTTATTGTTTTGAAAAGTCTTTTGAGTTCTCTGAAATTTCCATACTGTTCACACATGTATTTTTTTTTTTTAAATCACTCTGCATCATGAATATATCTAATTAAAAAAAATCATTCAGTAGAGGTAGAACTGACTAATTTTTTGTGCCTATTTCTTCAACAGAATGTTGGGTTTGAAAGCTCAGGGAAGAAGCAGCAGGGAGAAAAAAGCAACACAGTGGTAAGTACTATATTTTCCTTCTTTCAGACCAGCTGAGCAATATAGTAGAATATAAATCTTCTTTTGATTCATATGTTGCAATATTAAACTCATATTTAGCTTTTATTCTACATAAGCTTCTATGTTGTAATGAAGTTAACTTCTGTAGCTGCAAATATTTGTTGATAGGAGCTGAGTGAGTGATGTGTATTCATATGTAATTGTATGTTTAGAGAAGGATGAGTATGTAGGAAACTAAGTTGAAGTATATAACTAGAGAATAATTGTTTCAAAGCTGACTTGTGAAGTATTAGCATTTTATACTGCTTTTTAAAAATAAACATGCTTCATTTCTAGGGAAGATGAGCACACTCTCAAAAGATATGGGTAAAAGGTGTTTCACAGAATGTTTTGGATATTTCTTGTACCTCAGTGGCCTCCTTTCTGTTTGCTAGGTTGAAAGCACAGGGAGACATGTTACAATGCCATTTCTCTCTTTTTTTTCTTTTTTTTCCTTTTTTTTTTTTTACTCTTGGCTTAGTAATGTTCTTTAGTTTAAAGTCATACTTAAGAGTCTCAAAAATATTAAGAAGCCAAATAAATTTCAATTTTTATTTCAAAGCTATATAGAAAAGCAGTACATGTTGGGAATTAGCTTCTTTTTCCTTTCTAACAGTGCCAGTGCAGATGCTACTTTTTCCTCGTATTGTAAAGAATTCTAGAAGCGAGTGTTTCTTATGAATAAAAAGAAAGCATAGAAGAGAATTTTGTCTTCTATTTAAATTTCTATGGAGTGTTTTCCAAAAAAAAAAAAAAAAAAAAAAAAAAAGCAGCTTCCATCTGCTATGAGGTTATTAATAGTGCTGTTCAGATTGTGGAAAAGTTCATAAATATCGACACATCAGGCACTGTAATTCACAGACTAATTCCGAGATACGACTTTAAAGCATACGGAATGCTCCGAGTGCTGCCCAGCCTCGCTGCGAGCGGCGCTTCAGGAGACGTGGACACAGGTAGCGCGTCGCACACCGGGCATGGGGCCCGCGGTGCCCGGAGCCCACGGCTCTGCGGGCGGCTCCAGGAGCACTGCCCCCGGGAAGGCCCGGCGCTCCCGGAGCCGCCCGCAGAGCCATGGCAGCACTTCCTTCTTCCCCTACACTGGTGTCCCTTGACTATGTTGGGGTAACTGGTGGAATTGAAACAGCATAGCTGCCTTTCTGTTGGCGTTCGTGTTGGTAGTATGTGATACACAGCATTTGCTCCTGCAGTAGCTACAGACGTAATCTGCCAAAGAGCTGAAGCATAAGCACTTTAATAAGGTTTTATAGCTCCTCCAGCAGGCTTTCTGTTTCTTACTTTGGTTCCTCTGTATTTAATCTTCATGCTTTTGTATGGACAGGACTTTTCTGGCTTGTTTCCATGGATCTTTTCCACAGCTGCAGTGAAAGACAGAGTCATTTAATGTAGAGATGAGTGAATAGATGCCACGTCCTTATGTAGTGGTAGTGATTTTTGTGTGGCCTGGTGATGTGGAACAGGGGTCAGAGCTCACTTTGGTATCCTAGTGGGATAATAAGACTGTTTCATGTTCCTGGCTCCTCTGTAAATTCAAAGTAAGGATCCCCAAATGCTCCAAAACCAAGCAAACATATGTCAGTTCCATACTGTAGAGAAAATATTTATCCATATTAAAAAAAAAAAAAAAAAAAAAAAAAAAAAAAANAAAAAAAAAAAAAAAAAAAAAAAAAAAAAAAAAAAAAAAAACCCAAGAAACCAGTATTGTGGCTTTTAAATAAGCTCAGGTTTCTGAATATTACCCTGAAGTGGGAAGGGTTGCTATAATTCCTTTCAAATGTCAGATTGCAAAAGTAGATGGGCTTGAATTTACAAAGCCTTTTTGTTTGTTTCTGTGGTTTTTCTTTTTTTTTTTTTTAAGGGAGGGATGGCTACAGCGCAATGTTTTTTATTTTTAAATCAATTTATTCATCTTAATGTTCTCTTCGCAACACTACAAGTACTTATCCAGAGAATATGCAATCAAGTCAAACATCAGCAGTGAAGTTCAGATGTATTAATAATCTCAGCAGTGTTGTTAATGGGATACAATTAGAGACCATTCTTCAGACGAGATATTATAGTAGCACTTCCTTTGGTAGCTTGGCTGGCCAGATGCAAGCTAGTTTCCAGAGCTGCCCTTGGAAAAAGCAGAAGGAAATGTGTGAGAAGTTATAGCTACCTGGGTAGCATTTGGTTCAATGTAGCAGTGGTATGTGAGAAGGGGAAACATCCTCTAATATCTTCTTAAGTTACAGCAGTTTGACCATCCAAATGCCAATAACCATCCTATGTTATTGTGTAGTATTAGTATAAAAATCAGAATTAAAATTGTGCATCTGAACACTTTATGTGTAACCGTAAACTTAAACTCTATTTTTTTCCTTACTTTCTTTTCTAAATATTATTTCTGTGTTAGATCTTAGCTTAAGGTACAGATCTGTGCTCTAGTAGCTCTGCCTTACTGATGTCTTGGTCTAAGAATGTAACAGAGTCCATTTGAGCAAAAGTCGGTGCTTGAAGTACAGTATCTTTTTATTAGGCAGGTATTTATCAAGCATTTTCTACTGCTTATCTCAGTTTAAAGATATTTTTATTTTTAAATATTTGTTAATATTTAACAATAATTTTCCACTCTGGATAAAGTAATTTCCAAAAAATCTGAATAGTATCTAAACAGTTTTAAGAAAGTAAGAAAACACTTATTTTTGAACTGAGAAACTCCTGATACCATTAACACTTTTATAAATAAGTGAAGAGATTTTGTGATTAAAGAACCTCAGATCTTTAAAACAAAACCAAGTAATAAATTTTAGTCTGGTTATTTATTTCATAGAATACAAAAAAGTGGCTTCAACAAATGTGGTCTGAAAAGCTCATGCTCAGCATTGCTTTTCCGTGCACCACAAAAATTATCTTGCTGCCCTGCCCCTTGCAACTCTGTGGTGGTGGTTGCTGATTACATGCATACATGCATAGATACATATATGCATATGTGTACGTGTATAAATATACACATGCGTATATGTAGTGAGATTCCTTTTAGTTTTTGTATTTAACAGTTGATTCTATTTACTTACTAAAATACATCATGTTTCTCGTCCTGTTACCATTCACCATTGTTGTTTCATGAGCCAAGCCCTTGACTTCATTTGCTGTGCATATTACATGTGACTGAGCACAATGTTTGCTTTGGTGTTCCCTGTCTGCATGACTGCAGCCGGGCAGCAAACAGTTGAGCTTTGTTTTCGTGTCAGGTGCAGGAATGCTCAGACTGTCGTTTTACCTTACAACAGGATTGTTCCACAAACCCCCTTGCAGAAGTCTATCATTTTGGGTTACTTGTTCTCTCCCCTTGATTCCTTGTTTTATACTGGCCTGGATGTTTGCTGTTCTCTTCCATAAAATGAATGCCATAACCAATAAATTTTTAAAAAGCATTTTTGATGTTTCTGGAAGAGACAGAAACAAATAGCCTGAATGGGAGGCAGAAGGAGGCAGAAAACCCTTAATTTTGCATTGTCACCAAATGAGGTCTTGAAAGCAGAGCCAGAGACTCCAAGTGCTGTTTATAAAGAGACAGTCCCTTCACAGTATTTGCTTCCTGCTGGTGTTCGGTTCCTTTGCCATGTCTTTCAGGTTTGAGAGCCACACCTTAACCTTCATAAAAAAGACAAGAAGAAGGGATATGGGGAAACCAACTTCTAAGGCAGGGTTTGCTGGGTACTGACTGCTCTCTGTTGGATCAGAATCTCACCTTTCCTTTCTGAGATTAATGTGGTGGTTTTTAAAAAACAAACATTAAAAAAATACCCCAAAGAATCTCCAGAAACCTTTTAGCCTTAGTACATGATTTGTTAATGAGCAAGAGATGCCAAACCATTTTTGAGATTGAAGAATGAAGGATAACTTTGCTTTCCTGTAGGAGCAGAGGATGTTGGAATTTCTTAGGGTATGAAGACATTTACAGCTTTCTCCAGATTCAAAGGGACTACCACTGTTGGGGGTGTTTGCGTTTGCTTTAACAACAAACCAAATATGCAGTAGCAAACCATTTTCTGTACTTACAGAGAAAAACCTGTCATGTTTTTCAAGACCCATTCATATCTCCACAGACAGACACGTGTTTATTTCCAGTATAGGAACCTTCATTTGTTGTTAACTTTTAAGTACAGAAGAAGTGATTAACTTTTGCCTTAAGAATACTGCATAAGATTCTTAACCAGTATAATTTTCTTTGCTCCAGATCCTCTCTTTCAATAGGAATATGTTGGGACTTCCCTGACCTGACCACCTAATAAATGTTGTGTCTGTTATGCTGCAGTACATTCCTTTTTTGTGTTTAAAACATTGTGGACATGGACGTGGGCTGAAAGGAACCTGACTAGATACTTTTGTGCATATCAGTTCTTTTCTGTCTGATAGCTGGTTTCGTTTTCATCCTTGTTGCAGATGTGACACCCTTTTGAGGGCAGGGGAAAAGTGTGCTCACTAGCATAGAGGGTGAGCGGTCACGTCCTGTTAGCATCAGACAGGAAATTCAGCTCTGTTCAGAAATAGTACTGCTCTTATAGCTCATTGACGGAGGCTGGGAAAACAACTGTCATCTTAGATTCTACTTGTAATGAGCAGAGGTTGAATTTTTATGTTCTAATATTCATCGGAGCTTAGTTAGGTGTGCAGTTCCATAGAGGTCTTGGTAGATCTGCTGTTGGCCTGCCAGGCCCTTGGATGATGGAGTGTACAGGGAATGGTCCACGTGTGCCAGGAAGGGATGGTGTTTCTGCATGGCACTCTTGTGAATTAGTGCTTAGTCTGTATCCTCCTTCATTTCATGCGTTGGTCCCTCATTGGTCGTGATCTTTTGAACTAATCATTTGGTTTTCTGTTTCCAGAGAATTTTTTGTTTTCTATCCAGTAAAGGTATCTCAATACTTAAAGATAGCATCCGTTGCTGTTATAACGTCGATCTGGTAGAAGAATCTAAGGCAAAATAAATACTGTAATTCAACAGTTGTGTCTGGATATTGTAGCAGTTACAAAGAAGTTTTTCCTACAGTATTTTTTAGCTGACATCACTGATGAAATTCAGTCTCTATACTGAAACCCCTTTATTAACCTTGTTATCAGGAACATAACACGTGGGTTTGTTTCAAATACTAATAAGCAATTTCCAATAGAGCAAAATGTTTTTTTGTTATTAAAACTAAACACATGGAGAGTTTAGCACTTGCCGAAAGCACATCTCATCTTCTCTCTCTTTTTTTTTTTTTTTTTTTTTTTTTTGGTATTCTAAAATATGTAGTCTGTGCAAACAGACATGTCTGCCTTGCACATAATTAGGTGGCCAGCACCTGCTGATTAACACTGGAAAATAACAAAATAACAAGGAGTAGGAAAAGTAGACTGTAACTGCAAGCGAGACTTCAATCCATTTAATTTTGAATTTTTACTTGCTTCCTGCCTTCCTATGCTTCCTACCTTATGTTTGCCTCTTGTGTGTTTAAATCTCATGTTTGCCTCTTGTGTGTTTAAATAATAGCCAAAGTGTTTGCAGTGCCGCTCTGTGGGTGAACAGAGCATGGTTGGCGTTTCAAAGACCTGCCTATTGGAAAGACTTGGAGAATAGTGGTGTGGGAAATAAGGGAGATTACCTGACAAAAAGTGGGATGGAGGACAGAAGAAGTGCACTAGAAGCTTTAAAGCCCTGGAAGATTCTAGTGGAGGCTTCTGTATCTTTTCCAACTATACTGCCAGCTCACCAAAAGCAATGAAAATGTGTCATGCTTTTTATAAATTGTTGTTGAAGTAGTTGAAGTGTTGCCCATACTAACATCTCTAGCCTAATCAGTGGTGGTGGCGGGGGGAGCTCACGGGAAGTAGTGAACCCTCATTTTCAAAACTGAGAATAGGAGGTGTGGGTCTGTGTGCACGTGTGATGGACGTTTTGGCCTGCTTAAAGAAATGTGATAAGGGGCTACCCTTCCATCAGTTTGGGCCTTGCTTATCACTTTTAAAATTCTAAACAGCTCTCAAGTCATTCACAAATTTCAAACAATTTTCACTGATATATGCATAAATGATAAGGTAAAGATTTGATGTAGCTTGTATAAAAGAAAAAAATGTTGAGTCCTCAGCAAAGCTGCTTTCAACTGTGATGGCTTATCTCCTTTTTCAAGTTGTCATGGATAAGTGCTGATTAGATTTTTTTTTTTTTTTTTTAATGTGAAGAAAAAAATTTCTCACAACTTTCTCACAAGAGACTGGCTAGAATAATTTGCTCTCACTATTATGGAATCCCTAGAGGAAAACCCACCAGTATATTCATCATTACCCTTAGAGTGCAGGATATAGGTAGGTAAATAGACTTTTGTTCTTGTTTTTAGTTCCCTTTCGTGTAATTGTTCTGGAATGAGTTTCTGACCTAGTAGTATCATAGTGTAAGTGGATGAAGACCTATATTTTATTGCAATAGATATGTGTATAGTTGAAGCTACCTATGTATTTTTGAATTGCTTGGAGGTGCCAGCCTCTCTGATTAGGTGTCATCCTTGAATATCCTTGTGGGAGAAGGGAGGTATGAAATGCCTTATCTTAATGCTAGAAATGGTGCACAGTGCAAAAAAGGGCAACTAGAAATCTGATTGTCTATAATTAGCCAACATATCTAACCAAAGAGTGCATATGTTTTAACATTGAATTCTGTAGCTTGATAGAGGTCCTTACAAGCAGAACCCAAGTGATTCCTTCCTTAGGCCTGTCAACTTTTGAGCCTTTGATGATTATAAATAAAAGCTTCTAGCTCTGGAGAGTGATCCCCCACCCCCGGAAGCAAGATAAATATGTCAGCACCTGATTTTCCTCTTTGAGCTGTAAACAGAACCTGAGGTAAATTTGTGTCAAGGCTTTGAGGGCTTGGGGGATGTGGTGGTTTAGTTTGTTTCTCTCCTCTGAATTCTTTAGTAGATCTAGTTCTTAAAAATGTGGGTGTATTCGGCGATAGAGAAAGATAAATCCTAAGTGTTGTTTTATATAGTGCTTTCAGATTTTCTGATGATGTGGTACAGGATGAAATTAAGATTTTTCTCCTTGCTAGAGTTCCTTTTTTTTTTTTTTTTTTCTTTTTTTTTTTTTTAGAAAGAGAAACAAGGTTATACTGTGCTTTCCCTTCTGTCTTTTCTGTAGTTACCAAACTGTCCATGGTGAAGCTCTTGTTTTAAATGGTTAAAAAAAAAAAAAAAAAAAGCTTATGCTGTGTGCAACCTCACCTTTTCCTGCCTTTGGTTGTAATACTAGCCTCTGTGGAGTGCCTCCCTCCTGGCCTCGTTGGGGCTTGTGTGCCCGCGGCGGCTGCCCGGGAGGACAGCGGGGCAGCCGTGGGCAGCCGGGTCCGAGCTGCTGCTGCCGCTGCTGTGGGACTGCCGGCGCTGTCCTGCCGCTCGCCCGGCCCGTGCTCAAGCAGCCTTCATTGCCGGGCACCGGGGACCTGGGCCAGCGTAAGGCTACGCGCAGCGTCGTCCCCCGCGTTTACTTTAATGTGTGTCTTTTACATCGCTCTGCTTTTTGAAGTGTTACAGTAAATGTGTGCTCAATTTGATCATGGTCTTAATACTTTACTTTCACTGTTTTGACTTGGAATGTAAGCTGTGAGTTTAGCAACTTAAGATGACCCTATAGCTGACTAGAGGTATGGGTGGGTTAAACACTGGAGCAGGTTGCCCAGAGAGGCTGTGGAGTCTCCTGCCGTCCCTGGAGCTCTTCAGAACCCAATTGACTGTGGTCCTGAGCACCCTGCCCAAGCTGGCCATTCTTCAACAGGGCTTGGATTAGAGGTCCTGCCAACCAGACCCATTCTGTGATGTGACCCAACACCATGATGCTGCTCTGGCATTTGTTTCTTGATCCATGTTTTCAGTGCAATGAACTTATCAGAAGTCGAGCAATTGTAGAAGCAAAATATTGATGGCTGTTGCAGAGTTCCATGCTTTTAAAGGATGGATTTGAAATCTGACTCTCGGTACCCTGAGATCGGTAATAGTCATCCTACTATTCAAAGTTGTGAGGTACAGTAGAATTCAGTTTATGCAGTATATGGCAACCTGTTGTCATATAAATTATACATACTGCGATTTTCTTTTAAACAAGAAAAGGCATCCTGTAGCTTGAGACTGCCTGCAACTCGTGACTTCATATAGTACAATGACTTCATATAGCACAGTGGTCCTGTTATTTTCTCCTTGTGCTGCTGTCTGCTAGCTATATTCTGTGTATGTTCAAGCGTGGTCTGCCAGATGCATCTGAAAGGTCTTTTTTGTTTTCAGAGAGGAATGTTTTCTTTCACCAAGCTCAGAGATGGGCTTTAAATTTTGCATTTCTAAAAATGTGTTTTTTTTTTATTTTAAACATGCATATGTTAATTTGGATTTAATCTGAATATTTGAGCTGGAAAGAATAATTACTTATTGGTGTTTTGGATAATTTTATTATTTATTTATTTGTTTTTAGCCTGGTTTCCTAAGAAAATTAAGCTTACATGATTTTATTGCTTGTCCGCATACATTGGTTCTTCCTCAAAGTTCTGAGCTGATTTATGTCAAACTTGAAGCTGAGGTGACGATTTGAAGATTATTCCTTCTCTAAGTTTTGCTCCAAGTCAGAGGGACGTAACTCGTGCTCTTGCTGAGGGGAAGAGGTAGAACAGGGCTGGTGTCTGCCGCTGGTGCGTGATCGGCTGGCCAGGCTGCACCGTTTATACCTGCTGTTTCCTCCTGAGTAGGAAGGAGCCTTGGAGGGAGGAGAAGAAAAGGGTAGCAATGACTGAATGTAGAGGGACTGGAAAAAATCCATCTCCATAGCAATGAAATTCAATTAGTTCCAATGTGCACAGTGTGATTTGCTGCAGTTTTCCAGACTGAATGGTATTACATGAAATTGAAGGAACTTCTTTTTACCTGAGCTCTTAGAAACCTTTTCTTTTAAGCTGTAGTTAGGTAAGTTTATAGAAACCATGTTGCCTCCCTGTGCTACATTCTGTCTTTAGAGTTTTAAGATTAAGGGATACGAATTTTATCTTATTACTTAAATTTAACCTTTTTTTAGCTCTACTGTAATACTCCTTAGAAGGTGGATTTTATTGCTTTAAGCAAGAGTGTCATCTGATATCACCTTTATAAAGGTAGAAATAAGAGGATATGTTTTAATCTCCTAGGACTGACACTTCATAACTGCTGATTCACAACTCTGCTTCTGTTCAGTCTAAGGCTGTGCAGGCAGGTGACAAATTACAGGCTAAATTTTGATGAAATCCTTTAGAGTTTGAAGGTACATGAAGCCAAACTTAACGCAGTACTGAAGATGTTTTGTATTATCAGTACTTGCATATGCTTATGCACATACATACTTGCATACTTTTTATATATGTATGTGTATGTGTGTGTATGCATTGTATGTATGTACACGTATACACATATACACATCCCCGTACACTTTTTCTTTCCAAATATTTGCCAGCCATGGGAAGTTTGAGAAAATTCCTAATTAGGTACTGCTGAAACTATCTTGTAGGTTTTTAAATTCACCAATTTCTTTTTTTCAGTGCCTGAAAATGACAACGAAGCGGAACTTGTTGGTGCGGCTGGTGCCATGCCGCTGTCTGCGGGGAGAGGAGGAAACAGTCACTACATTAGACTATTCTCACTGCAGCCTGGAGCAGGTGCCTAAGGAGATTTTCACTTTCGAAAAGACCTTGGAGGAACTTTATTTAGATGCTAATCAGATTGAAGAGCTTCCAAAGGTACATTGCATGGTTTTCATTTTGTGGTGCATGTTAACTCTGTTACTTCATTGGCTTGGGTAGGGCCTGGTAGGGTCTAGTTTCTTATTTCAGCTTTCAGGTTGAAATTTGCTAGATGCTTTTAAGCTGATTTTGGTCCCAGCAGAAGCAGTCCTGGGAAAAAGAATATTTATACACTTTAGCTGCACCAGTCTGTGGTACTGGCTTGTGCAGAAATTGATCCACTCCAAGAGGAGAAGGTGGTGCAAAGCAGGAGAGGCCGGGTAACTTATTACTGTAGCAACATCTGATGGTATGCCACAAATTGTAGTGTTGTTTTGAAGCTCCGATAACATATGAAGATAAAATAAGTATGTTTAATATCCTGTTTGGAAAGCTGTGCCCACAAGACAGCTACAGTCTAAAGAATTTATGCACTTAAAGTTTTGCATTCTACTTTGGAACAGTGAGCTTTTGACAAAGTTCGTAAGCTCGAATATCAGTTTCATTACATCTTAAATAAATCCATATTTATTGTTACTTTGGAGCTTGGAAGACAGACCATTAACAGTAGGCTAGAGAAAAGATTGAAAGTTGGTGTCAGGGAGACTTTTGAGTACAAAGTGATCGTAACGGTTGCATTACTAGATCCTGTGTTGATGGAATTAGGTTAGTAATTAATATTTAAAAATTGATTTGTCATAGCTGTGTATAGAAGCCCATGGCCGTGGGGGATGACTGTGGTTTGCTTTGTTAGAAAGTTTGTTATAACTAGCTCCCATCTGCACTGTGTTTTGGAAGTGAAGATAACTGAAACCAATAAGCAAATAAATCTGTTCAGTGTATTACCTTAATTGATCAAAGACTTGGATTTCAGAGAAGATGAGTTGAGTGCTTTGGAAAAGTGCCCTTAAATGCAACTGAAAAGCCATCTAGGAAAATTCATACTCCTAAAGTGAACAGGGCTAAAAGCATACAAGTTGAAACCAGGTGTGTGTGTGTGTGTTTGTGTATATATATAAATAATAAAAATAAATATATATAGAAATTATTGTATGGAGTTTTCTATCTTCGGAGATAATTTTTATACTAGAATTCATTGCAGTTTTGTTGAGTTTTAGTATGCTTGAGTTAGAGACTAGGGTAGTATGATAGTATTATTCCCTTTCATCTTCTAAAAAGTTTCTAACTTCTTTTGGAAATTATCGGTCCCTACTCCAATGTTCAGAATTATTTGTTTTTAAAATGGTGGAGTTTCCTGTTTGTTTTCCTTAATAAGCACCCATTTCTGGATGTCATCTAAAGTAACTTTTATGGAAAATACTTTGAACTATATATAACTGCAGTCTAGTTTCTGCAATATTAGGAGGAGTTTGTACAAAATACTAAGCACAGCCTCCTCCTAAAAGAGGATTTTGCTGTAGCTTTTTGCAATTTTTTGCTGTCCTAAGCATTGTAAACTTGGTTCATTTTGAGTGAACTAATTGTCAGATAAAGTTTCTGTAGTGAAAGACTCTGAACGGTCTGGCCTTCACGCTTTGAGGTCAGAAGTTTAAGGGGATTAATAACAAAAGATATACAGAGGAAACTAGGAGTAAATCACATTGACTTTTTTTCTTTGTTTCAATAGCAACTTTTTAACTGTCAGTCTCTGCACAAGCTGAGTTTGCCAGACAATGATCTAACCACATTGCCAGCATCCATCGCAAATCTCATTAATCTCAGGGAACTGGATGTCAGCAAGAATGGTAAGTCGCTTCACTTATTATACTGGGGTTGCTAAAAGGCAAATCCACATGACTAAAAAAGCTACAAGTGAAAGCATTATTCTTAGAAACTCTAAATCTAATAAATCTTAATTTGCTAGTCTAAATCACTGCTTCACACAAAAGGTTCTCTTTTATGGTCTTTGTAGCGTGTGTTTGTTCCACCTACCCAATTAATGGGTTTGTACTTTGAGTTTCATCACTGAAAGTCTGATGTGATGAAATGCTTTCATATGCTCGCAATTATACATATGCACAAATCTATTACTTTATGGATTCTTTTGGAGAAGAGTTGTGTTGGCAGAAACGTATGTAGAATTTTTTAGGACCTTCTCTTCTACTTGGTGTCAGATGAAAGTTGCTGGTTTATAGCATGCAGTTTGGAGACTGCAGTAGGACTTGACTGCTTTGCCATCCCTGCTGTGGGACCAGGAACGTCCGTCTTGTAGGACAAGTAAGTGGCATTGGGCAGTGACTAGTTCATGCTTGTGACTCTCAAACTCCATCGTTCTTGGCACGTCAGGGTGCTTGATAGATTGTGAAACCTTGTCAGCCGAGGACTGTGCATATGGGGCTGCTCATGGTACTGCTGTGTCAAGTTGGCAGCTCTGTGCCACTGCGAGGAAATTGAAATAATTTAAATTGTCATCAGACTTGTTTTTGTGGTTTGTTTTTAAAGTATGTTCAAGCACACGGTGAATTGGTGAGAATGTAATAGGCTTGCCTTGTTTCAAAACAAAACTAGAGGACCTGTTGCAGAGTAAGACTGAAAGTTTTCTTGATTTAGATTATTGTATTTACTTCCCACTGCTTGGGCTTTGGATGCCTTGTCAGAGCCCTGGATGGTATAGGGATGAATTTTTCAGTCCTCTGTTACTTGCCATAAAAGTTTACTAATATTTGCTATTGTTTTTCTTTTCTGATGCATTTCAGTTTTACACAGAGATCAAAATATCTATTAATTGCAAGTAGGAGTTGCATAAATATATAAAATAAACTTTAACAAATATCAAATTTGTTTTTCAAGACAACTAGCAAATTAGGACTTCTTAAAACTAAAAGTTCTGCTTTTTATTAATACCAGTATTGCAGTCATTAGGTATTGTCATTTTCCTTTGCTGTCTATTGTAGCCCAATCTATGGTTAAACTGTTATTTTATTATTTCTGTACAATGGATATAGCATTTATTGTGTAATAAAGTGACTTGATTGTTACTGCTCTGTTCGTGGTACAAGTGGTCCTCAGTCCATCCTAAAAAGCGCTGTCCTTAAGCTTTACAATTAAGTAAGAATCATCTCTTTTGTCCTAATCAGAACTGTTAAAAGGATTAACTGTATCCCATGCAGAAATCCTCAAGGAATCAAATTTGAAAGCAGTAAAAGAGTTTTTTGACTTCTGGTATTGGCAAAGTCCTCAGCTTAGTTCTGTGTGTGGGTGGGTGTGTGTATACACACACACTTTATATATATATACATATATATATATATGTATACATATATGTACTTTTATATATATAAATATATATATAAATATATATATATTTATATAAAAAAGTAGCCTGTCAGTGAGCTGTCTCTCAAAAGCAGTGTCAGCGTTTGGATTTAAGAAGGCAGCAGCTCAGTGCTGCACTATCCTGATAAACTGGGAAGCTTTGTTTTTTTTTGTGTGTGTGGGGGCGGGGGGGCAGTGTTGGTTCTTCTCTTTAGCATCTTGCAGCCCAAACAATCGATGGGGCGCTAATGTAAACTGTGCTCATGTGCCTGCTGTCAGTCTCACCATGTCCTGGATGGCTTCTCTGCCTCGCATTGCACATCAGAAGTAACCCTGAGATTGCACGTTCGCTTCTCTTTGGACACCTTGTTCTCCCCAAGCCCTCCATTCCCGACAGCTTTGTGAACTTGAAAAACAAACTGGGGTCTGAATTTGTCCCTGTGTCGTGAGGATCCCTTCCCTATTCACTGCTGCAACCATGGCAATTCTCTCTTTATTCTCCCTGACAGCTGGAATGCTATTCTCTTTGCTTGGGTTCCCTTCTCGCTTGATAAGAACTTAATTCTCCATTTCCCACTCCCCAGGATTGTCTTGCATTTTCTCTCAAACTAAATACATTGGCTAAATACAAAAGTTGTCAGTCTTCCAAGAAACAGTAAAGCTGATTGAGCATCTTTCATTTCCTTGTTGTTTCCTCCCACCCAACAGGTATTGAAGGAAAATCATAGGGAAGCAGTGGGTCTTGGGGGAAGCACAAGAGTTGCTTTCCCTAAAAAAAAAAAAAAAAAAAAAAAAGCTTGGCAAGTCACCAGGAGTCATAGTGAAGAGTGATGAGATATGTCAGAACTCTAAAACAGTTGTGCAGGGGTTGGTTTGTCACTTTGCCACAGTTACAGCATTGCGAAGCTGGTAGTCCTCCATTTTTTTCTGGTATTAATATGCTGTAAGTATTATGTGTTGCCATAGGTGGAGCTAAAGCATGGGCTGCAGGTGCTTTTGGGTGAAATGGGCATTCAGTCATTAAGGCTATGGTTTCAGAAAGGGAGTTACAAAGGTAGACTTTAATGCATTATAAATGTTTTTCCTTTTTCAGGTTTAAATGTCTGATTCATATATATAATCTATAAAACTGTATAACAGAGGCATGGCAGAGGTGCCTGTGGCTGCTTAAAAATGTCCATATTTAATGAACACAAATTTTCCCCTAGCCTAGTGGCCAGAAGCAGAAGCCCAGACAGAAGTCCCTAAAGCGCCGAAAGCCGGGACGTGTGTGTGCTGCTTTCCTGTAGTGCTTTCAGTCTCAGCAGCTTGTGCTTCTGGGCCTTCCTGAGCCAGATATCGTGGGTTTTTTTCTTATTATTTTTCATCTTTCTGTATATTTCTTCATTTAATTTATCTACTTTTCTCTCAATGCAGCAATGTGTGTCTTGAGGTATATGCTGAATTACAGAGTGCAAGCCTGCAACAGTCGCATGTTCTGCAGCACGCACGAGTTTTAGTATAAACATTTGGTTTGGAATATGCTATTTGTGGCTGCTGAAGAGGTCATGGCTACATGAAGATGCAGCCTAAAATACCAGTTTGCTGCTATGTGTACAGTAAGCCTGGAACAGAGTTAATTTTAACTCTGTATTTAGTCTTGGCAAGAGCCTTTAAATTCTGTATCTTTTTGAAATACCGAGTTCTTCAGTTGTCCTCTCTGGCATTTTACCCCAATTCGCAAGGTTATTGTGAGCGCTTAGTATCAAAGGTGTCCCATTACATCTCTCCAAGTGCACTTCAGCTCTGGAGCTTTTCCCTGGAAGCCTGAGACTGTCCTGTGTGCAGAGGTGAAATGGTGCTTGAGCTAATGGTGCAGCGAGGAAGCTGTGCTTAGGTCAGAAACTGCATCCTACGGTGTGTAAAGAGTAAGAGATGTCCTTCTCTGTCCTCCTGGCTTGCATCCTCGAGAGAAATTGCGGCATGTTTGCAAGTCCAGAGTTCAAGGCCTGAGTAGAAAAATAGTGTTTCCTTTATTATGTTAAATAAAAAAAAAAATGAAACTTTTATTCCTCTGTAGCTAATAGATTTACCTGTATAAAGTTTAAAAAAAAAAAAAAAAAAAAAAAAAAAAGCCACCCCTGTACTCTTCCCTAATTCTATCTTTTTCTGTGTTTTTGAGTCAATGCTCCTCTGTAAAGTGTGAAGGTATTTCCTTTAGGCTCCTGGAGACCAGGTTTAGTCACTGTTTAGGAGGTTGTGAAGGACTGTGTTGGAAATGATTTTACCCTTTCCTTGAAAAAGAGGAGTTGGTTTCACAGGTCACTAGAACCAAGTGGAAGGCTGAGGCCTGTGGCGAGGTAGGGAATTAGACTTGCCTGGGAAATAGGCTTGAAATCCCTGGGCTGGGGAAGTTACCTTGAGGGGAAGCAGGCTGAGAGAGTCTGACTGCGTACGAACAAGTGATGAAAGAAAAAGATTTGGATTTTTGAATTCTGCAGGGCTTTTGAAACACTAAGTAACTAGTAGAGGCAAAGGGTGCATGGTGTTTTGGAAATAAAGGTGTGCTTCATAGTCTCTCAGATTTTATGAAACAGTTCTTTTTCGCTGTAATGCTACAACAAGTTTAAACTTGTCACCTTGCCTATATTGCAGGATATTTTCTTAAAAGGAAAACTTTAAAAAATTGCTTATAAAAATTGTTTAAAGCAATGTTAAAAAATTTTGTATTACTAAGAGATGCAAATCTAGCTCAAATATTTTTGTTTAATGCTTTAAAATCATCTGCTGACTTGGCAGACTAGCTTTTGAATGCTGTGTGCCAAAAGTTAAGGAGTTGGAAGAGAAAGAGGATGTCTACTCCAGTGAGGCCCATCTGGTGTAGTTGGAATTTGTCAATGAAGTGAGAATTTCTGATAGTTAGCAGAGATGCTGGACCAAATTTTATTCTCCATAGGGAGAAGTAAGAGAGGAAGGTCCTGTACACATAAACTGCTTGCTGTAATTTGCTTTTTCCTCTCTGTACCAAGATATACCTTCTATGATAGTAAAATGGAAGAAATGATATTAAATCTACTAATGACTCCTAAATCGAGAGCTTTAATATACATATCCGCATAGAGAGGTTATAAATTTGGAGTTCATCCTAAATGTGGGAAGCTTTTCTATTTAACAGTTATTTTTTCAAGCCTTTTTAGTAATTTCTTTATTAAATATTCTGTCTATTATGAAAGACATTGACTGGAATGTTTCTGCAAAGTAAAATTAAATTCTGTGTAAAATATATATAAGGGATAGGAGGTGAACAAAATGGTTTTCCAATGCAGTTAAGGCATGATTTGTCTTGAATATGGAATTTGAGTGTACTAATTTGAAATTCTGAGGAGAATATCAAATTGAAAATTTAATATCAAATTGCAGTTCTGTATTAATAATACAAATTGTTTCTGGACTCGGGTTTTCATAGCGCAGAACAGGCAGGCATTGCTGTAGAAGTAGTGGTTATTCTTGT